AGAACCTCGGAGAGCGCCCGGCGCCGCGACCAGAGGGACTGGAGAGGCGGCCGGAGCCGGGCCGGACAGACGCCTGCGAGCCCGCCTCCCTCCGCGCCCGCAGCTTCTCAGGCTGGCAGGCGGCTAGTGGCGTCTGAGGAAGGTGCCTTAAGTCTGGGGTCCGAGAGTCATCCCTCTGGGACGCCGCCGCCGCCGTCCAGCCGCGGCTCCCTCACACCTGTGCGGTGTGTGGTGTGTGCGCGTGTGGGAGTGTGTGTGCACGCCCGGCACGAGCGTCCGTGCGGGGGCTGTAGGTGCGTGTGCCCCGGCCTGGCGAGCCAGAGTCTTGTGGGAGCGTGTTTGTGTGTTGGCGCGCCCGCGGGCGACAGCAGCCCCGCGCCCTCGGCCCCGGGGGAAGGCACAGCGGGAGCGGCGGCTCTGCGCGCCCAGCGGGGCTGAGGCGGGACTCGGGCCGCAGCCGACGCCGCCACCGCCGCTGCCTCACGTCCCCCGAGAGCGGCCGCCCAGGGCTGCGGGGAGAGCGGACGGCGGGCCGGCGAGTGCGGCGGCCGGAGGGGGCCCTGAGCCCCGGCGGGAGTGAGCCGGGGGCAGCAGGGGCAGCGGGGGCAGCGGGGGCAGCGGGGGCAGCCCCTCACGACGGCTGTGAGCTGCGGTCAGCCGCAGAGGTTTGGAGGTTCGGGATTTGAGGGGTGACAGATGGAGAAAGGCCTCCCCGTTTTCCTACTAAGGCCGAGGGGACATTGAAAAGGATGAGGGGAGAGCCCGGGAGGTGGCGGTGAGAGTAAATATCACTTTGCCCCCCGCACCTCCTTTCCACAGCATCGTTTTTCTGAAAATGAAATATTTAGAGCTGACGCTTGAAAAGGAAAACCCGTCGTCAAGAGAGAGGCAGAGGGTCTAGGTCTACCCGACTCTCGTTTGATTGTATAATAATGATGATATAATGCTAATGACGATGATGACACTGCCTTTTATTTTTACCCCAGTGCTGATAAAGCATAGCTACAGCTGGGGATGAAGCCCTTGAGAAATCTGAGTGAAGAGGGAATACTGTTGCTTTCGGAGTTGTGTTTTATTTATTTAAGGATGTGCCTCTCAGAATTAGAATATGGCAAAAGGAAGACTTTTACCCCTCTAGTTACATAGCCCATGCTTTTGATAAAATGGGGATTGGTTACTGTTGTTGCCTTGACTAAGGAAGATATAAAGGCTTATACTCGGGTATGATTTTATGTATTAAGTCACCCTTTTTTCCTTTTCCTTTGGATTTCTCAACAGATTTTAAAATGAAGAAGTTTAATTTCCGGAAAGTTTTGGATGGCTTAACTGCCTCCTCCCCAGGCAGTGGTAGCAGCAGTGGCATTAACAGCAGTGGTGGAGCTGGCAGTGGTTCCCTGCATCCAGGGGGGACTGCAGGGGCCCTCAGAGAGGAGATTCAAGAAACCCTGACTTCAGACTATTTCCAGATCTGCAAGGTAAGTTTGGAATTGGCTGAAGGCCTATTGCTTGTTTATCTGACTCTTGTGAGGATATGAGGGAAACAGAATACTCCTGGGACTGAAAGCTGTTGAGATGCCAGCATCAAGGAAGGTCCGTTGCAGAGAACTCTGTGGGTAGGTCAGGTTGAATTAATCAAGATAATTCAGGCATCAGCTGGATATGCAGTGATGGTTTAGGGGGAAAATAAGTTCATGTGAAAGGAATTTGAGAGATAATGGCAAGGCCCAATAGTGAGCAACATTTCTAATGTAAGTAGTCAATGAGACAAGAACATAGTAATTTGATTTCCTTTGTTATTTAGAGAATGTTGTTTCACTTAGAGATGAATAAAATTATTTATGTAGCCATGTCTGTTTAATTCTAATACATTAATTTAAAGGGTCCAGTGATTTTGTTGTAAAGTCTTGAATGAACATACTTCTAGATTTTTAAACTCTTCAAAATAAGGAATGAATACCACAGGATTAATAATGTAAGAACTAGTAATACTTGTAAGAACTCAAGAAATTGCTAGAGTTCAGCTTCAGTAAGAAAACATGTCAAGTAACTGTAACTTGATGTTGAAGTTCTAATGCATACACATATTTTTATAAGAGGATTAAATGAGAATTTATGAAACCTATCAGTATACGGACATACAATATTTTCTGACATAAAGTAGTCTGTTATGCTTTTTCTGACTTGGAATGTGCTTTTAACCTGTAAGCAGTAAAAAATACTAAGTCACTCATGATACAAGCTAATATAGTTTCATGAATATGTACTACATAGGCAGAAATAATTAATTTTTTAAAATACAGAAATTAAATATCAACTTATTGGTACTTAAAGTTTTTTTTATAATTACTACATTTATAGTAAAGAAATAAGCTACAGTAAGTTTTAGTCATTACTTCAGTTTCTATTTATAGACTGGTCAATACAAAACATTAGAAATACAGTTGTTAATGCACTTAAAAACAAATTTTCTTATATTGGGTAAACAGATTTAACCTAGCCTGTGAAAATTATGTATAGCAGTGGATTTTCCCCTCAATATGGAATAATAGATACTCTGTTATTGTGGGAGGGACTGTGATCATAAGATAAATCCTAAGAGGCCTTCAGGTGAAATTCGTAGGCAGAGGAATTATTCACTGATTCTCTAAGCTTTGACATGTTACTGTTTCCTTTTACGGATTCTGAAAATATTTCCAAATTTTCTGAGTTCATGGGTTTGGTAGTAATGTGGGAAGTTTTTAGTGGAGGCAAAATTTGTAGAAAGAAACTTCTGGAACATGATGATGTTGGACTTAAGAGATTATAAAGCTGGTGGAGAAGGTTTTAAATGCACATTTTCAGGGAAAGGTATAAATGTGAGAAAGGGGAATGGAATATGTAATTGTCTTTCTATTTATTCGGACAAGAGGTGATAATGGGAAGTGATAAAAGTTAAATATTTTGCCATTTCAAACATACGGCATAATAGGAAGAGGACCAATTTTGAAACCCGAAATTTGTGTTTCATGTAAAGGTTCTGGGCAAGCCATTTATCTTCCTTAAGCTTTGATTTCTGTTTTTGATTAGGGGAATAAATTTTTTCTCACCTAAAAGAGGGGTTAAAACAAATAGAAAGATCAGACAAGTTAGCAAGATGATGGCAATGCATACATGAGAAAGATAACAATATACTTATATTCTGAAGCTTTAAAAACCATCCTGTTTGCAGTAGGATGATTATAACTGGTCGGTTATAATTTTAGGTAACAATTTTCAAGGAAGCTTAAGAATACATCACTATATTAATTGTGTTCTGGTACTTCTGAATCCTTACTAAATGGAGAAACTGTCATAGCATCTTCGGAAAGGAATAGGATCTGACTACTACAGGTTACATTGTCAGTAATAATAAATATATAGATGCTTGGTTACCAAAGTTAGAACCATTGTCTAAATGAAGTCCTCATTTCAATTTTCTGATTGAATGTGCAGAAAACATTCTATTCTGAGTTTTAACAAGTTGACACCTTCTGGGTACTTGTACGTTTTCAACCCCCAAATTAGATTATAAACCTAGACTCCTCCTTTGAAAACCATTCCCTCTAACCATCTGATTAGTCATCAAGGCCTATCTCTTCTATTTTAGTGGTATTTCTGCCATTTTCTCCATCCACAGTATTGTTCATTGTATCTCATTTCTTGTGTCAATTTCTAAATAACCACTTCGCTTCTTGTTTTGAAGATGATTATTTCTGAAACACAATGTTAATCTTATCATTTCCCTGCTAAAATGTCTGATTTTATAACAGTGATATTCCTTAAGAATTTTTTCTTCAGAGAAACTGAAGTAAATGAGATCATTTAAAAACAAATGTGGTGCTTCATTGGCATTCATTTGCTTTATAAATTATAATAAGCTATATCCACAATTGGTAAAATTTACGTTCTTCATATGCATGGAAAGGTAGTAGGGCCTTTACTAGCCTCAAGTAAGCAAATGTTTAAAGGTCATAATCAGTGACATGTCTATAAGAAATTCAAAACCAGAAATGGCTGAAGCCGCTTTCATTCAAGGTCATCAAAAAACAAACTAATAAAGCAATTTAATACTTTGATTTTGTATAATTTTTAAAAAAGATTTATTTATTTTTATTGGAAAGGCAGATTTACAGAGAGGTGAGACAGAAATATCTTCTATCTGCTGGTTCACTCCCCAAATGACTGAAATGGCTGGATGGCTGGAACTGAGTCCATCTGATGCCAGGAGCCAAGAGCTTTTTTGAGTCTTCCTTGCATGTGCAGGATCCCAAGGCTTTGGGTAATCCTTTGCCGCTTTCTCAGGCAGGGAGTTGAATTGGAAGTGGAGCAACCAGAACAGAAACTGGTGCCTGTATGGGATGCTGGTGCTAGCAGATGGAGGATTAGCTAACTGAACCATTGAGCTGGGTCCCCTACTGTCATTTTTTTTTTAAGTTCAGTTTATGTTTGTGCAAGTTGTTCAGATTATTTTTGAAACACTTGATCACCTTTCCTGAACTTGTATACTATTAAACACGACTTTAAATCCCTTCTCTATGTAATAAATTTCACACTACTTAATTGTATGTAGTTCCTGTCAGAAGTGGTTATTGTTTACCTTTCTACCATCATTTTCTTGGTTCTCTAGGTATATACCGTGTTTACTGAGTGTATCATGTTGTCTCCTCTCTCACTGCCTCTTCTCATTCTATTTCTGTTGTCTGGAATCACTCTTCTACCTGCAATAAAATCGAGAACTCTGAGTTATCATTTACTTGACAGTTCTACTATCTCCATGAGACCATCTCTGACCATAGTCTTCTCATTACTGTACCATCTCTGGACTGGAACAGATTGATAGTGCAAATTTAGCACCATTTCACATATTCAGACCATCAGATATATAATCTAGAATATATTTCATAGTTTATAAAAATATTTATAGCATATTAATCCATATTTGTATGCCTAGCAACTGGAGAGTTGAAGATATCAATTTGTCTTATATCTACAACAAATGCATAATCTACCTTTCTGTACATGTATCTTAGTTGCTATATAGCTAATAAGCAAATGGAGTAGGAAAATGCAAATATTTTAGCTAGAGTATAAATTTAAAGCATTCAATAAAAGTGTCCACCTCTTATACAAATAAAGTGGAGTTATAACAAGTGCTTTTACTTAAAGTTAGAGAATTTCATCTGCAGAATGCTGTTGAGCTGCATTTGATCTGTGTGATAGTGATAGTCATGTAAGGAAAATACAGTGTTAATATTTTAATTTTACTCATAATGCATCTAAAGCTACAGAATGTCAGTTGTAGTCCTAGGTCTCCAAGTTGGTAAGGGACAAAGGTGTTCAACACTTTGCTTTTCAATTTTCACATTCAGTACTCTTTTTACTGACTTCCTGAAAAGGCAATAAATTACATTTCCAGGGAAAGATTGAGACCTTGATAAGGTAAACACTACTATGTTGACTGTTCCTTCAAAGTAAATATCAAGTCTGATCATATTTCTTCCTTTCTAACATTGTTTAACCTAATCCAAGTCTCTAGCATTTCTTACTTGGGCTGATCCACCTATATAACCTTGGAAATGTTCCTTGTGCTTTTATAAAGGCATCCATCACTAGAATCTTTTTTTTTTTTAAGAATTAACAATTTTTTATTGGAAAGGCAGATTTACAGAGAGGAACAGCTCTTTTGCCTGCTGGTTTACTCCCCAACTGGCTGCAATGGCCAGCTCTGAGTTAATCAGAAGCCAGGAGCTAGGAACCTGCTCTGGGTCTCCAATGCGGGTACAGGGTGTCAAGGCTTTGGGCCATCCTCTACTACTTTGCCAACTACAAGCAGGGAGCTGGATGGGAAGTGGAACAGCCAGGACCTGAACTGATGCCCTTTGGGATCCCGGATGTTGCAAGGTGAGGATTTAGCCAATGAGCCATTGTGCTGGGTCCTGGAGTCTTAAAATAGGTGGAAGAATCCTTTATGCTCAAAACTTTCCAGTGGCTGTTTCTCTTAAAAAATAAAATGGTAAATTCTATTACTCTGATTAAGTTCTATATCATCTAGTTACTGATAAAATTTTATCTTTAACTTTTCTTTCATATATTCTTATAATCTGCATTTAGCTTTAGATGTGTGTGTTTAGGTTAAAAGTGGAGAGTAAGAAATCTCTTATTTCCTGATCTCATTCATCAAGTAGACCTGATAGAACAGTGCCTACCTCATTGACGACTAAAATATTTGTTGAATTAATGTGTGAAAAAAGAGTAAGGACACTGGTGAGTTAAGAGAACAGCTTCTAGAAAAGAGCTTTTGTGAAATAAATTTTGTATTATATAAAGAGAAAGAAACTATAGTTAAAACATGACATTTTAAAAACAATTTTCAAAAAGATTTGTAAAAGATTGTAGAAAGACAGAATTAAATTTATTTCCATTTTTAAATTGAGGAAGACATTAGGAACATTCTTTT